CCACTTGCCTTTCTGGAAGCTATTCTGTTCGTCATCCCTCCTTTTTACCCTGCTTTGGAGCACGTTTGCAGTTGTATTTTGAGTCATCGCGGGGTACCAATATTGATTAATTTTAATTGTGGTTGGATACTGTGATTATAGCTCAGGGTCCCATAATCCAGAACCTTTTTCCACTGCAGTTGTTCTCAGATACTAAATAAAAAAAAGAGCCTGCCCTTGTATGTTGTCCAGGTTGCACCAGTGGCGTTGGGAAGTGTGACGCTACCTGCAGGTGTCTGAAGAAGACTTATTTTTACTGGTGACTGTATTTACTGTACGGGTCAAGTTTCATCTCTGCATTTCTTTTTCCTCCCCACGTGCAGCTGCCCTTTGGGTAGCGAACGGCAGAACTGTGACGCTCTGAATCGCTTAACTGCACGGGCACCATGCTACTTTTCCTCCTTTCTTTCTATCGGTAGATTTTTATACTTTCTTCCTCCATTTTGAGGCCAGAGTGCGATAGCGTGAAGAAAGCAAATGTCCTGAGCGTAGGCTTCGGCCGTCCCAGTTGCTGCGCGGAAGAGGGACCTGCCCGACGCTGGGAGCTCGGTCCCGCTGCTCCCTTGCCTAGGTGGGAATCAGGGGTCCCTCCCCGGAGGTCAGCGCCGCGGCACCGCCGGGGCTGATTGCAAACCGGTGCCTGGACCTTCTTCCCGGACTTCTGCTACGCTGACTCATAACTGGGGGAGCAGGACAAATAGTGTGTTTTGCCCGCACCAAACAGTACCCTTTTACTGTCACTGTGTGCCTGATGGCAGGTGTCGCGGGCTGTGGCTGCGCAGGTCTGCAGAGCAATCCTGCTTGCTCGGCGCGGCTTCGGCAGCTAATACGTTACTGTCAAAAGAGCTTCTTGACCATAATCATAGTTTTCTCCTTGTTTTTTCTGTTAGATCTGTGTTTGTAAGAACATCCATGTATGACAGTCCGCGTACAGGGTCTAATTTCCTGAGCTCAGCTCTTGAAGCGTGTTTTTTCTTAAAGAAAATAAGCAATAGCTCTGGAAGAACTGAAATGTGGTTTTCGTTTAACATGCCATGGAAATGACAGATTTAAAGATTTCCCTTTGTATTTATTCCATGTACTTATTTAATTAATTTTAGATTGAGTTACCAGTTAGGGGTTGCAATTAAAATAATTAATGCCTCTGTTATGAGGAAAGTTCCTAAAGGCTGTATTTTCCTAAAATGACTTGGAGGGCTTTCAGAAAGCTTGTCTGTAGAAAAGAAAAGAGGCCTCACTCTTTAACGGTTGTAGAAGCAATGCAACAGAAATGAATACGTTTGCAGGTATTTGCGTATGTGCAATTTTATCAAAAGTCTGCGCAATTGCTCCTGCAGAATAGTGTAAACCAGCGCAGCGCGTAGGGAAAAAGCGCAGAATGCTTCTGTCTGTGGGCAAGTCTGTCTTCTCCTGTTACATGTCACGAAAGGTGCAGGCGCCTGGCTTTGGGTGAGCAACGCTGTGGCTAACAGCATGGGTTGTACCGTGGGGAGAGGAGGAGACCGGCGGCAAAACTAGCGGTTTTGCGCTGAGTACGCGGTTTTGCTGGGCCTGCGCTGCGCCGTGGTGATGAACAGATCTCTGCGACAGCGCGAAGCGATGGTGGGCCAAGACCTGGAGAGGGGCCAGGGCAGCGGGGAAGGACAAATAGCCGCTAAGCTGGCGCCGGGCTGCGTGGCTCGCTGGGCCGGTGTGCGTGCGTGACGGGCGCAGGGCCGGGGCTCCCGGGGACGCGGAGCAGCCGCGGGCTCTGGAGCAGCCTCCTGCCCAGGCTCGAATCCCGGGGGGTTAGTGCTGTCCCTCACTGATGCTGCTCAGGCCTCTCAGCACCTCCGAGCGCTGCATGCAGAGGGCTCCTGGGCCACTAATGTAATCACCAGATGACTTCTTTTCTGCTTTATTTGCATGCACGTTGTCAGATGGTTGTACGCTTTGCAGAACTGAAAGATTTGTGTGTTTTCACTAAGTGGAGAAATATTTCCATTCCTTTATTCTTGCTACCTAAAAGTAGTCCTGCGATTGATGAAAATTGTTTTTGTTTGCAGGTATAATACCTTGCCAAGCCGAAGAACGCTAAAAAATTCCAGATTAGTGAGTAAAAAAGATGATGTTCATGTCTGCATCATGTGTTTGCGTGCCATAATGAATTACCAGGTATTTCCATTTCAGTTCTTTTGGGCCACGTAACTATTTCATTGCTTGCAGGGGGAGGGAAAGCTTGCCTGTGAAATGTAAAGCTGATGTGCAGGTTTAACTTCTTATTCGTTCTTAGATAGCTTGGTTGGGAAGCTGTGTAACACAGCCATTACCCGTGGAGGATGGGGCTGACTTAGTACACACCTAAAGACACATATAGTCATAACAGCACATGCATGTTGGGCCGGGTTCTGTCGGCAGTGACGTGCTCAGTTTGCCCTAACTCGCTGGAAATGCACCTGCACAATTGAAATTATAGTTTGTCTCGGAATTTAGCACAAACTCGTGGGAAATATAATGAGAATATTATAGAAGAGTGAAAGTTACACCGTGATGGAAAATACAAGATTTTGCTGTGTTAAATGTTTATTGCAAGGCAGTTATGATAACTGCAAGTCAAAGAGTAAACGAATCCAAAATGAATCTTATTTTCATGAGTTTCGTTTGTCTGCAGCGGGATGCTGTGATTATGCAGCATGCCCAGGTAGCTTCAGGTACTTTGGGCTTTTTTCTGAAACGATAACTGCTAACAGGTACATGTTTCAAAGCAAGTCTATCGTGAACACCTTTATTATGAGTTGCGTAGCCTGTGAGGTATTCCCAACACCCCTGCATGCGTGAACCCTGCTCTTGATGGATAGCAGCTCCCTGGGATTTATTGGATTCCTTAGCTTTAATGGGAAGGATGCAAACAATGATCTCATGGTAATAACCAATACAGTATTTTCCAAAGCAGTTCTTTTTTCATATTTGGAGAACAAACCCGGAGTATTTTTGCAATTACTGCATGCAGCAGTCATTCTGTGGCAGCGTGCACGTTAGAAAATAAGTGATTTTGGCAGCTGAATTGCAAATTCCTCTTTAGAGAGCAAATGACACACTGGATTGTGAGAACTAAAATGGGGGGGAGGACAGGCAGAGAGGTTGGCCATGGTGGAGGAGCAGCTTCTAGGGCCCCTGAGGGGGGGTCCTAAGGCTGGCACAAGGCCAAACCGAGCACTTTCTGCGCTCGGAGTGGCAGGGTAGTTGGTACGCATGATGTTAAAGGGAAATGTGCTGACTGACTTTGTAAACTTGACAACGTTTTGTTTGGCTTTCAGCATTGTGAAAGACTGCCAGATCTGGTCAGAGATATGTAATTTGTTGGATTTAAAAAATAATGTTTTTGGTTTCAAAGCTGAAACAATATTTTCCCCTTCACTTTTCAGTATGGATTCAATATGGTCATGTCACATCCACATGCCGTTAACGAAATTGCACTAAGTTTGAACAACAAGAATCCCAGGTAGGATATACTTGCTTTTAGAGAATTTAAGAAGTAAGTAAATAAAGAATATACCTGCATTGATTTTCACAGGTATGTTTATGCGTAAAACTGTAGCAAAAATTTGGCTTCCTTTTTGAGTCAGATTATATCTATATTATGGTGCAAACAGATAAACAATTGCAGTCTAGTTCCATTGGTTTCAGAAGCTACTGACTCCTCAAATACAAGTTTGCTGCTTAAGCACTCCAACTGGATTGCCCTGCAAAGACGGTGCCCTGCTGGTAGCCAGCAGTTTAGCATGTGATTTTTCCTGAGGAGCAGGAAAGCCTTTTTTACTAGATTTTCTCTGAGGGGTCCTCAGGTTGTACATCCTTTGGGAGAGGGTTTAGTTCTTGCTCTGTCTTTGCAGAGCACCTGACTCAGCGTAGGGTTGCTGCTCGACCGCAGCAAGAGTTTGGTAATTGCAGAGGAGCACCACTTTCTGTAAGGCTGCAGCCGCCTTTCTCCCGCCACGCACTTCTTATCCCACCACCACTTTCAACGAGAGATTTCTTGCATGTCTGATGAAACCGAACCTGAGAAAGAGATATTTGTAAGGCAAGGTGAAACTGGGGCATGAGTGAAAGCGAGGCGACAGCAGCACTGCAGCCTGCGTGTGCGTTGCTGGCTTACCTTACAGTGCACCATTTGAAGTCTTGTCCTGGAGGAAGTAAGTACTTCCTTCCCTTCGTTTATTTAGAGTTAAATCAGCAAGCCTCGGCACAGTAGAAACGGGAAGGACGTGGGAACGTTATTTTTTTTAATCATATTTGGTGTCCCATGCCTGGAAATCAGGTGATTAATAGAGACCCTAAGCGTTCATTGTTTAAATGGATAGATTTTTTAGATTTCTGGTTACAGAAAATGCTTTGAAAAGTGGATAAAATAATCTAAAGGCAAAAATGAATGTTATTGCTGTTCATAACCTCTTTTTTTGTTTTAGTCCCATCCTGATTTTTGAGGAAATCTGTGTTTTGAGTGCTTAAGGTTGGCTGAGATCTGCAAAAAGGGAAGCAGCAGCTCTGGGAGGTGCCACAGAGCTGCACGCACGGGACAGCTCAGTGCTGCCGATGTGTGCAGGCCAGGTGGAGGAGGACGTTAGGGCGCAGTCGTAATCTCCATCCGTTCTGTTTGTGCCCAAGTGGTGCCACCAACCTAGCAGTGCTGGTCCTCTCCCCTTCCTGACCGCAGTTGTCCCTTGGAGAGGCTATGATGGGTGGTCCGTAGCAAAAACTCTTTGAGCTTGTCTGAAAGAGCTTGGATTTTCTTCTTGTGGCAGGAAAAAAAATTGGCGAGTAAGAACTGAACATGATCATTGAAAATTCCCTGGGAAAGTAAACATTTTATTTGGTTTCCAAAGGTAACGTTGGTGCTCTGAAAGCCAAAAGGTATCTCTTTTTCTGTAACATCTGGTTTGAGTAAACCCTTAAGCATGGGACTAATTTCATATGTGTTTGCATGATTTTAATATCTGCTAATAGTTCATCAGGCCATGTAGTCCTGTTGGTGCTTTTGCCTTATGCGAACCCTGTAAGGAAAGATTGGGGATTACTTATATTAGAGTTACACCGAGTCTGTTGCATATTTTTCTTTCAGTAATCTGTTGTCTTCTCTCCTTCATTAATATGCCTGTGCTAGCACTGCTGTCAATCAATTTGCCCACTTTTCTTAATCAAGAGGAGAAAGACGTGCTAAAGCATCCTATATTCAGTTCAGAGAATCACTTCTTACTTTTTTGTGGCTATGAACACTGTAAATTATCATAGAAAATAATTCAGATTTGTATCAGGAAAAGTACAGATTTGAATTTAAAGCATATTCATTAAAAACTGGACTCAGAGGGAATGGGCTGCTTGTGGTGAAAACATCTGACTAACGGTTGATGTGTGGTGATGCTGGGTTTCATAAAACTGCCTCTTTTTAGAATTTGCATAAGATAATTCTCCTGGAATACAAACTGTAGAAAGCTGACGTGGTCTGCCATTACCAGATTTATGTAACTGACATCAGTTTGCTTGAACGTCCATAAATATAGTTTGTAATTTAAATTTTTGCATGGTTTGATAAGCATTAAAATGGTGAAAAGTTGCCCAGATGAGAGCATGATCCTGGGAGATTCAAAATACCCTGGGTCAGAAGGCACTCGGCATTATGCATCCTACAGGGTCAAGCTTTACGTAGTTTCCAGAGATTAAAAAGACACTGAATATAAAGGACTTCTCACAGTGTCTCACGTCCATTTCGCAAACAGGTAGCAGGTGGTTCACCGCGTGGTTGTCACTGAGGATTGTGTTTTCTTCTTCTGCAGAACGAAAGCCCTCGTCTTGGAACTGCTGGCAGCTGTTTGTCTGGTCAGAGGAGGGCATGAAATCATTTTATCTGCCTTCGATAACTTTAAGGAGGTATGTTATTTTGCTTTATTAGAATTTGATGTGCCTTTCTATCTGTTGCTCTCTTACATGTCATTGGCTACAGCTTTCTGATTCAGCTGGACTTCCTAAAGTGAGGAGACCTGCAGGTATTCCATAAGCTACTTTGAGCTGCAGGGAAGCAGACAGTTGTTTGAGGATCTGATTAAATGGTGTTTTTTATGGGCATGGGTCTCTGAGGAGGTGTCCTCTCCTGTAAATGCTGTGATCAATGTAGTAATTAGTCTCCAGGGTAACAGGAGAGAAGTAGGCCTGGATTCTGGGGTCAGATCCTTTTCTTATAAACAGTTGTACTAGGTTTTTGCTGTCCATCAACTCAGTCCGGTTTTATTAACTGAGCCGGTGGTAGGGTTCCAGACTGCAGGAGAGGTGACTGCAAAGCACAGGCTGGAAGTTCAGCAGCTCATAGGAGAAGGTGTCCAAGGCCTGGGTGCGTGTGGGAGCATGGACGGGGACCGCGGTGGAGATGCTGCAGGTAGCTCCATTTGCGAGGCGAGGGTGGTGCGTGCTGGGGCAAGCACAGGTGGCAGGAGCTGCGCAGCCACATGGGCATCACGTTCAGCCTGCGTCTGCTTCGAGCCCGCCTGTGACTTCCCATTCGTGCTGTTTTAATGGTTTTTAAGATACACATTGTTTTTAGGTTGCCTAACTAACTTGTTATTGGTTATCGAATGTGATGCAGAGCAAGCTGGCCAGAGCTTTATGTTTCATTCATTTTTAGAAATGTAGACAAGACTGAATATATCGGGCCTAAATATCACAACAAAACCTCTTCTTTAAAAATTACAGTAAGTACACATGGTACAAAACTTCTGTGTCTGGGACGATTTCTGGAACTTGAGTAGTTCTCATGCCAGCGCTCTGTGCACCTCTGTATGAAGGGCCAGGATCCTCACAAGGTGAATCCAGGCTGTAAGTTGTCCCCTTTCACCTCTCAGTCGGTCATGCGGTCTCTCTTAAGTGGAAAATGAATGGAGATTTTGAGGGCTTTCCTCTGGTTCCTGTGTCTCTGAATGCTTTTTCATATTCTCAGATGAAAGAAATAGGAATTCTGTGTTGGAGCTCCTATTTTTCAGAGCACAAGCTCTTGAAGCGCAAAAACTCCTGTTTTTACTATCATATGGAATTATATTTGTGAAGAAATTATGAAATCAGGTCTCTGTGATGAAACACTGACTAAGCCGAAATTGGTACAAGTGTTCCTGTTGGCTCAAGTGGGTCAAAATTGCGTGTCATACATTCAGGTGTACCGCATGTCTGCATACAGGTTTTAAGAACATCATTGTGCGAATGTCTAGAAATACTAGTGTGGGAATGAGGTCCTAGAAAGCTGCTGTTCTGGCTTATTTTGAATATTGCATAGGTGTGCGGCTTTATTATCAAAGAAGAACATCTAGTCTTGCCAGGTCTAAAACTGTTAAACTAGATGAGTCCCAACGGGATGGTGTAAAGATATCGCATGTTTTTCCTTAATGCCAGCATTGAAATAAGTGGGTTAATCCAGACGGTTGGCAAGCCAAGTTGTTAACTTTTTAACTTTTTGTATTTTGGGAATTATCTCTGGTAAAGAGATATAAATCTCTCTGATTTACATCTGCTGTAAATATTTGCATGTAGCCTAGCAGAGCTTCACCGTAACTGTATTTCTGAGCTGATTACCATGACCCAGAGCTAAAGGCTTAATCTGCAGCACGGTCATGTTTTAGCAGCCTCGAGCTTTGCAAGACCAGCCCAGTGCTGAGCGTGAGCTTTGCTGTGCGCGTGGAGCTACCCGAGAGCACAGGCAGGGCGAAGCGCAGCGCTGCTGCCGACGCTTCCCCGGCTGTTCAGCGGGTGCGTAGCCAAAATTGCGGTGTGGCCATGGAGAAAGCTCTGCTCCTGCAGGTGCTTGCGCAGGGTAATGCAATCAGATGGGAAAAGACCTGCAGTCCTGTAGTACAGGCACACAACTGGGAGGTGAAGTTCTAATTTAGTTCTTTCATTTATTCCTTCGTAGCCTTGGGCAAGTGACCTGGTATCTTTGTCTTCATGTGCACCTTTGTCAAATGAAGGAATAACAGAAGTGCATGCAAATGGGTTTGTTTTGAAGAACAAGGGGTAATACTTGAGAAGTGCTTTAAGTAGGAAAGCCCTGTGTTCATGCTAAGTACAATGTCATTATCCTGGTTTCAAATTCTCCATGGCTTATTACTACATTATAATAGAAAAAATATGACTCATGAGGGAGGACAGTATTAGGGAATACAGATAAGTCTGGCAAAGGACTACAGTAGAAATGCCACTCCTAACGGTCTGTAAGGCCTGTTAAATGGGGCTTTTTGCTTGTCTCAGGGAAGTGTAAAGTCCCATTTGCTATTTTCTCTTCCTGACATCCTTAGTAAAGTTTTTGCCCCTTCATTTTCTTTCAAGTGCTCTGTCATCTTTTTTTTTTCCCTTTCTGACATTTAAAATATGTGCATAGTCCAATCAGTTTGTCCTCCATTATTTATTTATTCTGTTCCTGTTTCTGTTTGATCAAGTCTTTTGTTGCGGTGCAGCTGTCTGGATGCTGCAGGTGAAGTGGGGTGTGCAAGGAGGATATTCTACTTTTCTAAATTCTGGTTTTAGCTGGTCTTCTGTTTATCCAATTATGCTGCTTATTTCTTGCATTTCTGCTGTTGTTTTCCACTTTCCTCCTGGGCAAGTATTAATTTTCAGCAATGATTTCTTTATACTTACAGTCTTTACACTTTATACTTATAATCCTTTCACCTGGTATATGAAAAATCTTGGCGTTGCTGGCATGTGAAGCACTGAGTGTTAGACTTGTAGCAGTATATTTCCGCATCAAAACAGTGTAAGCTCAATAATATTTGTGTGGCTCCCCTAACTCTGTATTGTAGTTTCCTTGCGGTTCCCTCGTCAGACCCAGCCTGCATATTTAGGAGAGATTAGACTTGTCAAACCAGATCTCTGCCACTCTTTCTCCTTGCCAGGAAATAACTTCAAAAGAAATCTGAACTTGAGTCTAGCACTCACACTGTAATAAAGTCAGTGGGGAAAACAGGCTATTTCAGACCAAATTCTGCCCTCATTTACATCAGGATGAACATCAAGTATTTCATGAGGCTTTGAGCTTTGCTCTGATGCAAATGAGAACAGAATTTAGTTCTCAGGATTTGACTGTGCTGGAAAATTGCAGTTGATCTGAATCTTTTTGAGAATTCTTATTGAAAATGGCTTTTCATTTGAAAATGATTTTACAGGCCAGTTTTTTTTCTGGCTAAGGTCAGGATGTTCAAACAGAGGATGTTTTTTTTTTCTTAAACTGTGTGTCAAAAATTATTCTAGTCTGCTTCTTTCATCTGAAATCACTGATTCTTGTGCCCAGGCTGCTTCCCTTTGGAGGGGCCTCAGCACCAGGCGTTGCACACACAGCCTCTGTTTGCAGTAGATCGTTAAGTGAACGTTGAATAGACCACTTCTGACAACAGACACGTGGGTCTTTCGAAGCCACCAAGAAGGCACAACAAACTGGAA